ATATAACACTGGAGGATGAGCCTCTCAAGTCAGAAGATGTCCAATGTGCTACTGGGGAAGAATGGAGGGCTAGTACTAGTAGCGCCAGAAAGAATGAAGCGACTGGGTCCAAGCTGAAAGGACACTCAGTTGTGGATGGATCTGGTGGTGAAAGGAAAGTCCGATGCTGCAAAGAACTATACTGCATAGGAACCTGGGATGTAAAATCTATGAATCAAGGTAAGCTGGACGTGGTGAAACATAAGATGACAAGACTGAGCATTGACATCTTGGGACTCAGTAAACTAAAGTGGACAGGAATGGGTGAATTTAATTCAGATGAACATCATATATACTGACGTGGGCAAGAATCCTGCAGAAGAAATGAAGTAGCCATCATAGTCAATAAAAGAGTAGGAAAAGCAGTTCTGGGACACAATTGCCAAAATGACAGAATTATTATTATTATTATTATTACATTTCTATGCCGCCCCTTGCCGAAACCTCGGGGCGGCTTACAACACAATAAAATACATTGAAATACAATAGGACATAATAAATTACCATTAAATACAAAAATACAAAAAGTACACTGAGTTACAAATATAAAATTAAAATTATCAGTATAAAATAAGTAAATAAATAATATAGGAGGAGAAAAGAGAAGGAAGAAGAAGTTGTCCTGGCCAGATCATATGTTTTAACAATTAAAATGATGTTTAAATAAAAAGGTCTTTACCTGGCGCCGAAAAACCAGTAACAACGGTGCCAGGCGGACCTCTTTGGGGAGTGAATTCCATAGGTTGGGCGCCACTGCAGAGAAAGCCCTCCTCCGAGTACTTACTCTCCTAATTTCTTTCATGGAGGGTTCCCAGAGAAGGGACTCTCCCACAGATCTCAAAGGGCGGTCGGGCATATACGGACGTAAGCGCTCGTTCAGGTAGCCAGGACCCAAGCTGTTTAGGGCTTTATAGGTCATAATCAACACCTTGAATTGGGCCCGGGCTTCAATGGGAAGCCAGTGAAGCTGACGGAGGACTGGAGTCATGTGAGCATAACGCCCCGTCCCCGTCAGCAACCTGGCAGCTCTATTTTGCACCAATTGAAGTGTTCGGACTGTCTTCAGGGGAAGCCCCACGTAAAGCGCATTACAGAAGTCTAGGCAGGAAGTCACCAGCGCGTGTGTCACCGTCGCCAGGCAGTCGTACTCCAGGTAGGGGCGCAGCTGATTAATCAGCTGAAGCTGAAGGAAGGCGCTCCTCGCCACCGCTGTCACCTGAGCTTCCAAAGAAAGCTCCGGGTCGAGGAGTACTCCTAAGCTGCAGACCTTATCCCTAAGAGGGAGTGTTGCACCATTCAGGACCAGGTCAAATCCACCCTCTCCGAAACCTGATCTGCCAACCAACAGGACCTCCGTCTTGTCTGGGTTGAGTTTCAGTTTATTGGCCCTCATCCATTCCCTTACCTCGGCCAAGCACTGGTTCAGCACAGCCACTGCCTCACCTGGATTAGTGGAAAACGAGAGGTAGAGCTGGGTATCATCAGCATATTGATGATTCCGCAGCCCACACCTCCTGATGACCTCTCCCAGCGGTTTCATATAGATGTTAAATAGCAGAGGGGATAGAATGGAGCCCTGTGGTACTCCATGGCATAACTGAGAATGATCTCAGTTCGAATCCAAGGCAAACCATTCAACATCACAATAGTCCAAGTCTATGCCCCAACCACTGGTGCTAAAGAGGCTGAAGTTGACCAGTTCTATGAAGGCCTACAACACCTTCTAGAATTAACACCAAAAAATGATGTCCTTATCATCATGGGGGATTGGAATGCTAAAGTAGGAAGCCAAAAGATAACCAGAATAACAGGCAAGTTTGGCCTTGGAGTACAAAATGAAGCAGGGCAGAGGCTGGTAGAATTTTGTCACGAGAATACGATAGTCATAGCAAACACTCTTTTCCAACAACCCAAGAGAAGACTCTACACATGGACATCACCAGACGGTCAACACAGAAATCAGACTGACTATGTGCTCTGCAGCCAAAGATGGAGAAGCTCTATACAGTCAGTAAAAACTAGACCAGGAGCTGACTGTGGCTCAGATCATGAGCTTCTGGTTGCAAAATTTAGGCTTAAGTTGAAGAAAGTAGGGAAAAGCACTAGGCCACTCAGGTATGACCTAAATCATATCCCTGATGAATATACAGTAGAGGTGACAAATGGATTTAAGGAATTAGATCTGATAGACAGAGTGCCTGAAGAACTATGGATGGAGGTTCACAACATTGTACAAGAGGTAGAAACTAAAAACATCCCAAAGAAAAAGAAATGCAAGAAAACAAAATGGCTGTCTGAGGAGGCTTTACAAATAGCTGAGGAAAGAAGGGAAGCAAAAGGCAAGGGGGAAAGGGAAAGATACACCCAACTGAATGCAGAATTCCAGAGAATAACTAGAAAAGATAAGAAGGCCTTCTTAAATGAACAATGCAAAGAAACACAGGAAAACAATAGAATGGGAAAGACTAGAGAGCACTTCAAGAAAACTGGAGATATGAAGGGAACGTTTCATGCAAAGATGAGCATGATAGAGGACCAAAATGGCAGGGACCTAACAGAGGCAGAAGAGATTAAGAAGAGGTAGCAAGAGTACATGGAAGAACTGTACAAGAAAGATCTTAATGTCCCTGATAACCACAATGGTGTGGTCACTGACCTTGAGCCAGACATTCTGGAGTGTGAAATCAAATGGGCCTTAGGAAGTCTTAGCAACAACAAAGCTAGTGGAGTGACAGTATTCCAGTTGAGCTATTCAAAATCCTAAAAGACAATGCAGTTAAACTGCTACACTCAATATGCCAGCAAAATTGGAAAACTCACCAGTGGCCACAGGATTGGAAAAGGTCAGTTTACATTCCAATTCCAAAGAAGGGCAATGTCAAAGAATGTTCAAGCTACTGAACAATTGTGCTCATTTCACATGCTAGCAAAGTTATGCTCAACATCCTACAAGCTGGCCTCAGCAGTATGTGGACCGAAAACTACCAGAAATGCAGGCAGGGTTTCAAAGAGGAAGAGGAGCTAGAGATCAAATTGCCAGGATACACTGGTTCACGGAGAAAGGTAGGGAGTTCCAGAAAAACTTCTAGTTCTGTTTCATTGTGTTCACTAAAGCCTTTGATTGTGTGGATCACAACAAATTGTAGCAAGTTCTTAAAGAGATGGGAGTATCAGACCATCTCATTTGTCTATTGAGAAACCTCTATGTGGGTCAAGAAGCAACTGTGAGAACTGGTCTTGGAACTACTGATTGGTTCAAAATTGGGAAAGGAGGATAGCAAGGCTGGATATTGCCACCCTGCCTATTTAACTTATATGCAGAGTACATTATATGAAAGGCAGGGCTAGATGAATCACCAGTTGGAATTAAGACTGCCAGGAGAAATATCAACAACCTCAGATATGCAGATGATACCACTCTAATGGTAGAAAGAGAAGAGAAACTAAAGATACTCTTGATGTGGGTGAAAGAGGAGAGTGCAAAAGTTAGCTTGAAACTCAACATTAAGAAAACTAAGATCATGGCATCCAGTCCTATCACTCCCTGGCAAATAGATGGGGAAGAAATGGAGGTAGTGACAGATTTTATTTTCCTGGGCTCCAAGATCACCGCAGATGGTGACTGCAGCCAAGAAATTAAAAGACGCTTGCTCTTTGGGAGGAAAACTATGGCAAATCTAGACAGCATACTAAAAAGCAAAGACATCACCCTGCCAACAAAAGTTTGTATAGTCAGAGCTATGGTTTTCCCAGTTACAATGTATGGCTTTGAGAACTGGTCCCTAAGGAAAACTGAGCGCCTACAAATTGATGCCTTTGAAGTGAGGTGCTGGAGAAAATTCCTGAGAGTCCCTTGGACTGCAAAGAACTCAAATCAGACAATCTTAAAGGAAATCAATCCTGCCTGTTCTTTAGAAAGTCAGATACTGAAGATGAAACTCAAATATTTTGGCCATTTAATGAGAAGGAAGGACTCACTGGAGGAGACCTTAATGCTGGGAACGATTGAAGGCAAAAGGAAAAGGGGACAGCAGAGAATGAGGTGGCTAGATGGGGTCACGGGGGCAGTTGGTGTGGGCTTGGGTGGACTCAGAGGTACAGCGGACAGGAAAGCCTGGAGGAATGTTGTCCATGGGGTCATGAAGGGTCAGTCACGATTTAGTGACTAAACAAAAAAAATTACTTGTGGCAGTTACACTGAGCATCCAGGTTCATCCTATGAATACAAGTTGCTGAAGATCAAAGGAAGAAGAGAGGCTCAGTGCTCTTGGGCTTCTGGGAGACATCAGGGTGGTCACTGGGGCTAAGAGGATGCTCAGCTGGATGGTCACTAGATCTCATTTGCTTAGCATTTCAAACTTCCTCACAAATATTTTTTTCAGTAATTCCTACAACAAGCTCGTCATGAAAACTAAGAATTAGCATCTAATAAAATAGTGGCTGATTTTTAAAGGTGGAAGTTTCCTAACTCAGTCTAAGTTTATTTACAAAGTTACTCTCGAAGCCTGTCCTTTAATTCCAGATGTACGCAGAACTCTCAGAGGCGTGAGAAAAGCATTCTGCACACACTCAGAAACGCTTTCATCTCTAAAATTGTTTGATACGGTCTCGAACCAGCTATGGCGTTTAAAAGCAGTCCTTTAGCCTTCGTCTCAAAACAGACCTCGAAGCATCACTAATTTCCCTAAATCGCTTCACAACTTTTCTCGAGGCTTCTCTTATACAGCGGACAGCAATTCCCACAAAGCCCCGCGGCGACAAGCCGATAGGAAAAAACGGAGCCTGAGCATCGTGATGCTCTTCGGGATCGGCAGTTCTATTAAACTTCGTCCTCGGCACGAGGTTTTGCATCGCTATTCACCGTCCTCAGCCGGGCGCCGTTGGAAGAACTACGAATCCCGTCAAGCTTTGCGACACGCATGGTGAACGCGCGCGCGCGAAAGAACGGGCGCATGGATTGTGCGTAAGCGCAGAGGGACCAGGTGGTTTGGCTGGGCATTCATGTGGAGGTCAGCGCTGCAGCGCGAGGTGAGTTAGGTTGGTCGATCAGGCGACCTTTGGGCGTATTCTGTTTCCTTCGCTTTCCGCCGTTTCTTTCCCCTCTTCCTCCCTCCCTTCAGCGGTATGCAAAGACTCGCCAAGTGCAGAAAAACTGCAGAAAAAGGGGAGAAAGTGGAAGAAGTAGGGGAAAGGTTTGGAAAAGACGGAGATGGGAAAAATACGGTGGCTGGAAGGAGGTCCTGATTTTCTCCATCCCGTTCTTGGCGAGAGGAAAAATTGCAAACTGGTGCAGCACCTAGACGCTCGCCAAAGTTGCATAGCAATAGGAACAATAGAGAGGTGGAGTAGGGTGGTGTGGGTGGCAATGATTGGGAAGACTCCTGGAAGTGGGCCAGTTCTGGAAGGCGAGGGGGGCAAGGGCAGTGACCCGGTGGGGCAGGAGCCTGAATCTTTTATTAGAAGCCCGGAATCTCTGGCAGGCCATCTGCCCCACCACCTTGCTTTTCATGGCATTTGCTAAAATAAAGGTGCAGTGGCACTGGATCTGATGTTCATCTGATGTTCCCCGGAACAATGCATCCTTCTGCAGCAACTGTGGGAAGCTAATGTGGGGGGAGGGGTTCCCCAAGGAAGTATCTGAAAACCAAATCGAAGGAAGCATGAAGGTTAATGCTGCAGTGACTGCTGGGAGTTTCTGAGGCAAGTAGGCTTGATTAATAGTTTGCTAGTTGATTCCTCCCCTTGCTGCAGTTGCTTCTTGTCACTGACCAGAAAAAAAGGACCGGGGGGGGGGGGGGAGAACCTGCACACACATGCTTTTGTGTGTTCCCATGTATTTGAACAGATTTGAACACAGTGCTTTGGTGACTATCTCAGCTGTGCCAATCTCTCCTCTGTCCAGGTGTCAGAAACTCAGTTTATCTGGATTTAACTAGGAATTAGGTATTTGCCTTTAAGCAGGGTGGATGATCGGTTTTGAATCTAGGAGTTAAGAAATCATACTAAACAAAATGACACCTGATATAGAGTCCACCAATCTAGCCAGACTCCCAGCATTTTCATCATTTGTTTCAATTTTAATCTTTAAAATGTTGAGTATCCGCATAGTTTTCAATGTAGAAAATAATGCAAATGGTGACAGTAGGAGTTTATATGAGTAGCAGAGGCATTCGCCTGCCTTCACATCCTGCCCAAATGAACTGATAACTTTTCTTCCTCCTAGTCTAGTCATAGTTGACATTTTCATGTTCACTTTCCTGTTTCCTTGTAAAGATAAAAAAGAAAAACATAATGCTCAATTCTGCAAAATAGAAATCCTCCTTCAGGCAAGAGCTCCATCTGCGACTATTGATGTAGCTTATTTATAAAAATTTAATTGCATTTCACCAAAAAAAAAAAAAAAAGGACGCCAAAGAAAAAAAAGCGCTCAGGCTCATTGCATGTTAAGGGAGCAATGTGCACCCTTAGGGGTCAGCGGATACTTTATATTTTCAGATCTGAGGTCAGAGACAGAGCTCCAGACTTGCCCCTTGCAGCTGGAGTAGAAAGGACTACACTGACTGCTCTCCGATGTTGGGAAAGCCATTTCAAAGAAAGAGAGGTGACTAAAGAGGCCAGGGTACAAGTTATTCTGAGGTCTCTCCCGTCTCTTTTGCCCTCTCTCCAGAGCATTCCAGCTATGGGGCATGTTAATCCAACAAAAATGCAGGGTAGCGGGGGATGGGGAGGCTAAGATCACCTCCACTGCTCTTCCCACTCTACACTGAATACTTGTAAGCCCCCAAGCTCAGGACCTTGTGGCCATTGAAATAGGCTTGTGCCTTAAAATAGCAAGAATGATACTGTTTGTCAGGGCAGAGTTCCTCCAGATGTGTTGCACTGCAATTTCCTTGATTCCTAGCCACCTGTTTCACTATATCCAGTGTCTAATACTGCTATTCCTTTCCTATCTGTTTTTGAAGGTGTGATTTTCTTGGAAACGCAGAAGGAGGGTTTCATCTGATCCTGATGGCTGCCAAGGTCCTTGAGACCGTTGGCAAACTTGGCCTGGGCCTGGCAGTTGCTGGTGGAATCGTCAACTCTGCTCTTTATAATGGTGAGCAGGCCAGTCTTCTGTAATATTCACCCATTCAGTGGAACACTTTGGTTGTTTGTGACTGACTGAGGGGCTCCTGGAATTCTTGAACAGAGGATAAAGGATTGCATGGTAGAGACAAATAAGCTGTATATCATCTTGAGCAAATGGGAATATGCTGGATCTGTTTATCATGACTGGGATAGCTATTAAGATTGGAATTAACAGGAAGCCAAACTCTTTCTTTAGGCTCAGGTTGTGTGTTGTTGTTGTTAGTTGCAAAGTCGTGTCCGACCCATCGTGACCTCATGGACAACATTTCTCCAGGCCTTCCTGTCTTCCACCGTCCCCCAGAGTCCACTTAAGCTCACACCAACTGCTTCAGTGACTCCATCTAACCACCTCATTCTCTGCCATCCCCTTCTTCTTTTGCCATCTATTGTTCCCAGCATTAGGCTCTTCACCAGGGAGTCCTTCCTTCTCATTAGGTGGCCAAAGTATTTGAGTTTCATCTTCAGGATCTGGCCTTCTAAAGAGCAGTCAGGGTTGATCTCCTCTAGGACTGACCGGTTTGATAGCCTTGTGGTCCAAGGGACTTGCAGGAGTCTCCTCCAGCACCACAATTCAAAGGCTTCAATCCTTCGGCGCTCAGCCTTCCTTATGGTCCAGCTTTCACAGTCATATATTGCAACTGGGAAAACCATAGCCTTGACTATACGCACTTTTGTTGGCAGGGTGATGTCTCTGCTTTTTAGTATGCTATCTAGATTTGCCATAGCTTTCCTCCCCAGGAGCAAGTGTCTTTTAATTTCTTGGCTGCAGTCCCCGTCTGCAGTGATCTTGGAGCCCAGGAAAGTAAAATCTGTCACTAGGTTGTGTAGTACTGACTTTATTTTTTGTTAGTATTAAGTTTGTAAGTTGGATTGTCTGTTGACTATCATATCAGACAATGTATTTTGTATTCGATGTTGTAAGCCGCCCCGAGGCCTTGGCAAAGGGCGGCATAGAAATGTTTTAATAAATAAATAAATAAAATAGTGTATATACTAAATGAAATAATATTGATGGTATATAAAATAGATTGGTCCATATGCTTAATAGGGTCCAGAGTCAGAAATTAAGAGAGAAATGTTGCCAGAAGGGGTGAACACACATACCGTAACTCTGAATATAATCATCTTCAGAGACACAGAACCTTGTTCAGCCCAAGGGCTGAAATCCATGGAAAAGAAGTGCTTGGGAGCTGTATGCCAGTGGTGAGAGGGGCCAAAGACAAAACAGGTGAAGCCGGGTTTAAAATCCTCAGCCTGTGTTACCTTAATGTTCTTACAGCCAGTAAGCAGGCCTTAGGAGGGGCATTTCAGCCATTTAGAATTGGCTGGGGAAAGCAGGGATGACTTTCTGGAGACTTCTAGAGGGACAAACTAGCCCCTTGGAGGGCTTGGTTTGGCTCCCAGTCCTGAAATTCTGCATCTCAATCTCCTGGGATGGAAGAAAATGGTCTTTCATGTTCAGCCTGTCACATGGGCCAGTTGCACATCTAAAACTACTGAGAGAGGATCACCCAGTGGATCCAGAGTTTTGCACAGTGCTATGATCTTCCCCAGCTTGCTTCATTTGCTTGGCTTAAAAAATGTGCATGCCACCTTTCAGGAATAGTCCTCCTACAGTTTACAAACATAACACATTTACCAAACAATTCCCAAAACGTCAGCAATTAAAACCCCCAGCATTATACGTGAACCAGGTCCCTGAATGTTCAGCCCTGCCTAGTTCAGGCATCTCCACCAAGGTGATGCCTCAGCTCATCTCTCCAGCCTTCTTCACAGGGCATTTGGTCATATGTGGCCCACAAGCTTGTCATTGTGTACATGTATATGACTCAGAATGGATGTTGCTTCCAGGATTAATGATGGTGACATAACAGTTCAATAGTATTTGCCAGTGCAACGTTGCTGATGGTGTGTGTGCATCTGCCTGTTTTTTGCCCCTTCTCTAGTGGATGCAGGCCACAGGGCTGTCATCTTCGACCGATTCCGAGGTGTTCAGGACATAGTGGTGGGAGAAGGGACCCATTTTCTCATCCCTTGGGTGCAGAAGCCGATAATCTTTGATTGCCGCTCTCGACCACGCAATGTTCCTGTAATCACTGGGAGCAAAGGTGAGCAGGGGAACAGATTCAAGTTTTTTAGAGTCAAAGGCTGAAAGGGATACTGAAACACAAAGATAAATTATTCCACTGGGGCTCTGTTATGGAAATAGCAGTGAAAAAAATAATAGCATTCTAATGCTCTTGTTTATACATGCCCACAGTTTTTTCCTCAATGGTTTTCAAAGTTGCTTAGTCTTAACAACACAACATTTTCAAGGCAACAGTAAACCAAAATGTCAAACAAGACCTTCTGTTTCATGTGTGCAAGGTTCCCTTCACTACTTGCTGTGCGCTTGCCCTGTCTGGTCATCAACTGTCCTTTTTTCAATAGAACATGTTCAAGGCTCTTCAGGGCCCTACAAGGCCTCTGTGCTGCTTGTTCACATCCCCACATCTGGAGACTTTTCCCGTTCCTTTGAGCAGACCCTGCACAGCCCCCCAACTTGTCTCATTATCTTCCAGTCCTGAGCAAAGTAGTTACCAAGACTGTGGCAGGGTACTAGAGGGGGCATGGCTTGGGGAGCATCCCGTGGGCCAAGCCCAAAGGCCTGGTGGTCAGCATTTGGTTCCCCTCCACTGTGGCAGGCAGGCAGGAAGGCCAGGCCACTCTACAGAAGTAGAAACAACTAGCTGCGGAGAAGAGCATCTTCCAGACATGGAACAGGAGAAAGACAGTGGGGAGAGTAGATACTTTCTGCATGGCAGAACTCACGAGAAGGGCAAGTGGTGTATTCAAAGGCAGCAGGTTTGTTTGTTTGTTTTTACTAGAAGTTTTGGCCTTATTCCATGTGGTCGTGGTTACCAAAGTGTCCCAGGGAATATTCAGGTTCCTCAGAAATTTATCAAGGATCCCTCAGTGAGGAAGCTGGTAATGACAATGTTCCCAGAAAGACAATGGGCCACCATAATGCCACAGGGTAGTAGTGGGTGTGAGACCCAGCATGCCTGGCTGTCACCCTCTAGAATGTCCCAGAATCCTTTGTAATGCACAGGGGTTGCATCACAAGGACTTTTCACCACCCTGGGAACAGTTCTGTTGAGGAGAAACAAGACAAGTCTGCAGATGTAGAAAATGATTACCCAGTTTTTGGTGTGCCCCCCCCCCCCCGCCCCTTTCCTGGCTCCTAAATCCTGCTGGAGTCAGACTTTCTGTAGCAAAGGAATAACACCTAAACTTTAGCAGATGCAGTTGTCTCCTTAAAAAAGCAATGTACAACCTGTCTTTCCTTTCTCTAAGGATAGAAAGGCTGAGCCTGGGAACTGTTTACTCATAAATATAGTGCATTCGCTCTTTCCTGTTCTGGCTTGGTAGCACTTGTATTAGCTCAGAGGAGCTTACTGCTTATTATCTGATTAGACTATTGTTATCGCATCTCTCAGCCAAAAGGACTCCAAAGTGTTTTATGCACAGTCAGTAGAAAAAATTCCCACTGCCTATGGGATTACAATCTAAAAAGATACAACATATGAGGAAAATGGGGTGGAAGGGGAAGAACTAAAAATAGTCCTTCAGCAGGGCTACTGACCCTTCTTTTCCTTTCGCTTTTTTACAGCCTGTTGGAATAGCAGCTTGTAGTGAGAGCTGAGAAAGAATGTTAATTTGTCAAGGTGCTTACTTGCTCTACCTTTCTTCCTCTCTACCTGGTAGATCTACAGAATGTCAACATCACTCTGCGAATCTTGTTCAGACCAGTGACTTTACAGCTTCCTCGGATTTTCACCACTATTGGCGAGGACTATGACGAGCGAGTGTTGCCCTCCATCACCACTGAGATTCTCAAATCTGTGGTGGTAAGTGCTGATGGGATGATGCCCATGCAAACTACCTTGTGCTTCTTGCACACTTCTGAGCTTTTGTAGGCATCTCTCTTGGCCTGAGTACTTAATTTAGGGAGTCACTGGAAAGGGAGAAGGCTATTTTTCCTTGTTTCCTATTATTCTGTCTAGATCCTCTGCAGCAGGCTTCCTAATGTCTGCTGCAAAGGAGGTTGTTGGCAGTAAAAGGAGAAGAGCTGGGAATAGCAAGAAATGCAAGTCTTCCTCAGCTTTCCAGTGGTGCTGATTGGTGCCTGTGTTCTTATGGCGTCAGCAGGGTGTGGTAGGGCTAAAGCCTATGGCTGACCCCACAGGATATCAGCTGACCAGGTGGCCCTTTATCCCACTCTGACAAGCAGCCCTTACTGGACAGGTTGCAAGAGTGCAAGGCCTCACAGCGCCTCTTCAAGCTGTTTACACATTTTGTTGTTTCAGGCTCGTTTCGATGCTGGTGAGTTGATCACGCAGAGAGAGCTTGTTTCCAGACAAGTGAGCGAAGACCTCACAGAAAGAGCAGCAACATTTGGACTCATCCTAGATGATGTTTCTTTGGTAAGAGACCTCCTGTGCTAGAGGCGTTGCTGATGGAAAGTGGATTATGGTCAAAACTAGGAAGTGTGGGGGAATCTGTGGCCCTCTGGATGTCGCTGGGCTACAGTTCCCACCATCCTACATGATTGCCAGTACTGGCTGGGACTGATGAGAGTTGGAGTCCCACAACGTCTGGGGAGCCACAAGGTGCTCACCACTAGGCTAGAGGAGAGGGACCTTTAAATGCCACACTTGGGACCCAGGGGCTGCAGCAAGAGCCCAGATGTAGTAAGAAGGTCTCTATTAGGAGCAAATGCTGAAAAAGGATTATTGTCTCAGCATAGAACCTGATTTTTTAATTACGAATGCAGTTGGGCATTGCAGTCAGCCTGCACAATGCATGCCAGCCTTTCCCTACCTGGTGTGCTTCGGATCTGTTGGACTGCAGTTCTCATTATGCTGTTATAGTAATGATGAACCTATACCTCTGGAGGGTGCCAGGTTGGAGAAAACTGAGCTGAGCAGAGACACGGATCATTTATTTTGAAGGATGCTTACAGTACAACAATTCGGGAAGAGCAAGTTCACGGGCTCCCTCTGCTGGTGATAATGAAATGTTTGGCTGGAGATGAAGTTTCTGTCAAATGTTGTGCATGTGTCTCAAATCTGAAAAACAGCCTTGTGAAAGTTTCAGAACTGGACAGTTGAATGATGGAGTTTAGAAATTACTATTATTACTGCTTCTGTCTTGGAGAGCAAGTGCAGCATTTCAGTGGTGGTTCTAGTGTAGAACATGAAATTTAGAGTTCAACCTAATGCTTTTATTTCTGTGTCAACATCTCTAGGATTGTGTGGTTAGATAAAGTCTCATCCCATTGATTTCAGCTGAGTCTGGATGCAACCCTGTGATTTGCAGCCCGACAATGTTGATCTTAAAGAAATTCTATGCAGTCCAGCACTGTGTTCAATGAACTTATTCTGTACTCATTCTTTATAGAAGTATAGAAGTGCTTCTTTTTTTTACACTCATTGGACATTGATGAACGATATCCATTCTAGATTTTTTCAGAATGTACAATATCATTCTGAAAATATCCAGCAAGCTTTTGGATGATGTGTGGTTGTTTTGGATAGTTGTTTACTGTAATAAAAAGGGTGGATTTTGTATTTTTATGCATTTCAATACTTGGATGGTTTTATGCTTGGTCGTGGTGATGCTAAAATGGGTTACTGGGTGGACATTAATCTGTATTACAAATAAAAACCATTTTAACTGTCTTAACTTTCACCCTGCTGGGAACCCATGAAAGGCTAGGAATTTCTCTTGAAGAATGTTTGTTGCACTCATAAAACTACTAAGTTCACAGAATTCTTTTGCTACACATAATTGTAATAAATGTTCAGAAGATTAAGGCAGTAATGAGAGCCAGAATAAAGGGTGCACCAATTTGGAGCAAATGTATATTATTAGTCCAAAAATTATAAGCAAATGTAAGGGAAGCCAAGCCCCTCAAGTATCAAAATCTCTGCTTATGCCCTAATTGCTTCCAATTCTGAGTAGCCATCAGTCCTGGGGAAAGCTATGCAAACAAGATGAACATACCAAGACACACATCCTTTGTCCATTGTGCATCTTGCCTCTTGTGGGAAACACATCAGCATTCAAATCATTGCATTCTGATTAGGGTATTTCTAACCAGTCCATTTCGGTTCATCTCTGGACAACTTACAATATAAAACACGTAATAAATACAACGTAAAATCATTAATTATGCTAAAGCCTTTGATTGTGTGGATCACAACAAATTGTGGCAAGTTCTTAAAGAGATGGGAGTACCAGACCATCTTATTTGTCTCTTGAGAAACCTGTATGTGGGTCAAGAAGCAACAGTGAGAACTGGACACAGAACCACTGATTGGTTCAAAATTGAGACAGGAGTTCGGCAAGGCTGTATACTGTCACCCTGCCTATTTAACATCTATGCAGAGCACATCATGAGAAAGGCGGGGCTAGATGAATCACCAGTTGGAATTAAAATTGCCGGTGGAGGACAGGAAGGCCTGGAGGAATGTTGTCCTCTCCCTTTGCACAGCAAGTGACAAACCAGGATGTCTTCAGTTACCTATGATTTTCTGTTATATCCAAACCAGGAAACTGTGATTCGTGGCTTCTGAAATGCCCAGATATGAAGCCATAGTTTTGTTTATTATATTTATATCCCTCCATTTTTCCTGCAAGGAAACATGGTGCTTTAATCATCCTTTTCTCTTCTCTATTATATTTTCACAACCTTACAGGGAAGGTTAAGGTGAGAGTCAGTGACTAGGCCAAAGTCAGCCGAGCTTCATCATGGCTGAATGGGAACTAGAACCCCAGTCTCCCAGTTCCTAGTCCAGCACTGTAACCAGTGTCTTGCCTTGTTCTAAAATTACTAACCGTATTTTATCAGGTTATATGTAACAAGAAACCATATTAACAAAGGCCTTTGTGATTTATTTGGACTCATGCTATAGGAGTTAATGTGTATGTCTTAGTTTATTAAGCCAGGATATGATCATCTGAGCTTGACTGGCTTTTGTCATGAAGAATTTCCAAATCCTGTCCTTGGTTGATGGCTTTGAGTACATAACAATTCCAGCAGCTGCAGCCAAGCAAGTTTTCATGTGATTGATGCTTAAATGAAAGCTGCACATCAGCTGGGGTCCCAACTGCCTTTGGAATTGATCATGTTTCTCCTTCTTTATTGAGGGCATATTGTCATAGTTTATGGAGTGTGTTTCTTTTTTCCCTCTTAGACACATCTGACATTTGGTAAAGAGTTCACAGAAGCTGTAGAAATGAAGCAAGTAGCCCAGCAAGAAGCCGAGAGGGCCAGGTTCATAGTGGAAAAGGTGAGGACATTGAACTTGCCAGATGGTCTTGGCATCTTCCCATGGAGAGATGGTTCACCTCCTTATCCACTGCTCATTTGTAGGATCTTACCACCTCTCACACACTTTTTCTACTGTACAAATACTTTATAGCAGGGATCTGGTGCCTTCTGGGTATTTTGGACTAAAACACTAATCAGTCCCAGCTAGTATGGCCAGTGGTCAGGGAATGGGAATTGTAGTTTCAGACTGGAGAGCACCTGGGTTTCAGGAACTTGGGAACATAAGAAAAGCCCTGCTGAATAAGGCCAAAGACCCATCTTGTCCACCAACCAGTTACCCAGGGTAGCTAGGAGCAAGTTCCCAGGCAACTGGTGATGACTCTGAAACCTTCCGTCTAGTCACATCCATGGAGCAAAGTCTAACTTTTAGAGTCATTTAAGTTAATACTTTTTCTAGGGAAGAGGGTTGGAGGAGACAAAGAGAGAGATAACTTGACAAATAGGGAACAGAAGTCTGAAGGAAAGAATGGGAGAAAGATGCAAGGTAGACTAACAGCAAGCTTATGAGGGAGCATCATTGGGGACAGCCAGGCAAAATAGTTGTGGGAATAGGCGGACTGTTCTAAAAGTGAAGACTAGAAGCATGAAGCATGATGGGGTGCAGGAGCTTAGAAGGGTGAGATAAAAAACTTAAGAGAATCTCATGGCAGAACAAGTACAAATAAGGAGAGGAATCCTTTGATAGCTGTCAGATGGAACCAGAGAAGAAAATGAGCTTGTCTCCTGCTCAGAGGTGCCATTTGGGTACTTTTCTAAACCGTGGCACCTGCTGATACCATGGGTTTGTCAGTACAGCAACCCTTATTGCAATCCATGGATTATTGGTGAGGGGTGGGGCTTGTTGCCTTCAAGCAACCCATCCTAAGGGAATCAGTTAGGGTTTGCATGATGTAACAGCCCATCATAGGTATAAAATTCTCTCTTGCTTACCTTGTCTTGTCAACTCATTCAGTGCTTCCCTGCCCATAGCCACACTTTATGAGGTTGTAGAAATTCCTTGGCTGTTAATGGAGATGAGTAGAAGCTGCAACAAAAGGTTGCAGCAAATTCTCGCTTCCTGTTGGGAGTTCTGCTGTTCAGGGCTCCTGCCAGCCTTGTCTACCTCCATTCATCTCATCTCATCCCACCATTCTTTTTCTAGCTGATTGTCAATACCAGCGGTTCTTGAGCGTTCTTTGCCCTGACCAGACTGCTGATTTAAAGAGTTGCGTGTGCATCCTTTAAGTATTACTTTTGCAAATCTTGATGTACTTCAAGCCTACAAATATCCACCCCCCATCTTCTCACTTGCTCCATTTTAGCTAAAATTCTCTTGCTCACCATGAGAGTTCACTGTTAGAAGTAGGTGCTACAGAGATCATCCCCTCCCCCTTTTCCTAATGCCATTGTCTGTTCTCTCCTCTCCTTCCCCAGGCAGAGCAGCAAAAGAAAGCAGCTATCATTTCAGCTGAGGGGGACTCAAAAGCGGCTGAGCTGATTGCCAACTCGTTGGCTTCCGCAGGTGATGGCCTCATCGAATTGCGCAAGCTTGAGGCAGCAGAAGACATCGCTTACCAGCTCTCACGGTCTCGTAATATCACCTACCTGCCATCAGGGCAGTCCATGTTGCTCCAGCTACCCCAATGAGTGTCCTGATTGTCTTCATCCCCACCATTTTTCTACTATAAAATAACCAATTAGCCAAAAGCAATCACTGAGGTTTCCCAGTATGGGGGCTGAAAATACAGGAAAAGGAAATAAAAAATGAATTGAAAATCCCTTGATCTTAAAAAAAAACAATCTTTCTCTCACCCTATTCTGTTTGGCAGAACAGTATTTGGAACAAAGAAGTGGGGAGTTGGAAGCTAAGTGGGGTGTGTGTGTTTTTGTGCTGCCTAACTTGATCCTAGTGCATCCTATGGAGAGAACATCTATTTTTAGCCAGAATTTGCCCTCTCAGTTCATTTTAAGTTAATTCTGGCTCATACCTTCAGCACTAAGCCAACTTTGGTGTGCTGCCGTTTATGGAAAAGAGTGGAGCAGTTTTTCTTCGACCCCTTCTTTCCTGTCAGATTGAGTATCACACGTGGGCATATCAGCATAAAAAGCTACCTTTGCTGAATTTCAAAATGCGTAAAACCCATGTTAACCTGCAGCAGGGCCAAGTATAACATGCAAAATGGTTTCAGGCCTCTTCAGCTGAGAGCAGAACATTTCTGCATGGAATTACAGGTTTTCTGCCCTTCACCTAAATCTCCTTTCTTGGGATCAGCTCTCCTCTGGCCTTCCATGCTGATGTTATCTGCCACTGTACAGGAAAAGACTGATGATGCAAATAGCAGGCATCTGTTTCACATTCTCACCCTGACTGTAAGAGAAGGTTTATTCCACTGATGGTCCGATTCATTCAGTAGTGTGTTATCAAGGCTCTTTTAATTCCTTTAAAAGATGTTCACTAAGTAATGGAGCTGCAAAGGTTTAGATTGTATTAACCAGCCTTCAGTAAACTAACGAATAAAGTGTCCCTTCTTAACTGTGTGGTTTTGCATTTACAATAAGGCAATGTCAACTAACATCAGTGTTTGATTTTTGCCAGTCTCAAAACATCTGGTGGTTACCAGGCTGGGAAAGAGTGTTTCCCCACTGCCCCTTTCTATCCAGTATATGCTAAGGAAGCTGGCACTAGTTCCCATTCCAGGCCTGTTTTCAAGCACCGGCACTGCAGCAGGTCTCCAGGGTGCATTTTGAATACAAGGCATAAAAGGAAACACTCTTCCCAGTCGCTGCTTCTTTCCTCTCAAGCCACTGCTTCCTGCAATTTCATGTTTGCTGCAGTAGGCAATGCTTCCCAGTGGTTTGGAGAAGGGTCTGTGGCTCAGAAGTAGAATGCATGATTGCATGCCCAAGTTTACAGCTTCAATTTCCAATAGGGCAGTCATTCTGAACTGTACTGAGCTTGATGACCTGACCTGGCATAGGCGGCTTTCTCTGTTGCTGCACCATTAGCACTTCTGCCTTATGTGAAAACTAAGTGGACCACCATTGGGCTTTGGTAGCATGTCCCCTACCTGCCAGATTGCTCTGGTGGGTGGTAGGAAGGCAGGTAGTAAAGCCTTTCTGCCAAGAAACAAGCCACATAGTCTTCAAGTTTTGTCTCCTCACAGAACTGGTGATGCAAAAAAGGAAGGTGTGTGATCCTTGGGCAAGGGCAAGGGCCAAATTATATTCTTAAAACTCCACACATGTTCAGAAAGCATAATTGCTAGACTAGCACCACCCAGAAATAGTTTTGTATGAGCAAGGGCATACGTCTATGAGAAACAAAACAAAAACATGGCAGGGATGCTTCCTGTTAGCAGAATGCAATTAGGAAAGTGACCAGGTGGGTCTCTTTGCAAAAGCAGTCTGGGAACAGACCCACCCCACTACAAAGAGGATGGTCTCATTGTCCTTGATGATTTTATGAGACATCAGGGCAGATGTTCAGGTGTGCTGAGCATTGAAGTCCTAAACATCTGGAGAGGTAAATTACCCCCATTCCTGCCTTAAGGTACCAAGGATCCAACCTCTTTAAATGTAGGGCTTTAAAGGTAAACACACTATCTAGGATCTGGTGATGGCTAGATTGCTTGGATTAGGAAGGCTGATGCCAACTGGAAGACAATGCAAGACAAGAAATACAGGCACCTTCTTTCAGTGGCCTTGGCAGTGTTTACTCATTTGCATTAAACACTGCAGTGCACAATTTAATAAAAAGTTTAAAATTGTTAAACACATTACTTAGCACATGTGAATATGAATTTTGAATTCAGTGTAAATATGAATTTTGTTTGCTTTCTGAAAGCCAAGAGAGTGGTTGGTGGCTTTTCCCTGGTAAGAAGTTATGCTAGCTGAAATGTCCGAAATCCATACGTGGACGGCTTTGACCAAGTGTTCACAGCAGCCTCACAGATGTTATGCATGGCATAAAGACACAGGCATAATCCTATGCATGTTTATACAGAAGTAGGTCTTGCTATGTTAAATATGGCTTACTCCAGGGAAATGCATATATAGGAATGTAGGCAATTTTTGTTCTTTGTCCAACCTCTTTTTTAAGTGGGAAACATTCATAGATTTGTGGGGGGGTGCTGTTGCATCCATGTTCTGATTGGGGGATTCCATAGGCAACTGATTGTCTTACCTACTGCATGAGCAGAATGTTGGGCAAGATGATTCCTTACTTCAATCCAGCATGGCTCTTCCCATGTTTTTAACAGCAAATATACGAGTAGCAGACGAATGGGTCAGTGCAAGAAATGGGGTTTTGCTGTCTTTCTGATCCTCAGAAAGAGAGCAAAATGGGCCAGTGGCCTTGGATAAGCTTGACACAATCATGTCCATGCCATTGCTGGGATCCAGATGGAGAGGAATTGGAGGGGGCTCCATGCAGCAAGAGGACTGCAGGACAAGGCCTTGGGGGGGGGACACATGTGGCCCATGGACTGCATGTTGGACCACCCTGTCCTAAACCAAACATGGATACAGATGCTTAGGTGTTAAAGGTTTCTCCTTGACGTTAAGTCCAGTCACGTCTGACTCTAAGGGGCGGTGGTCATCTCCCATTTCCTAGCCAAGGGAGGCAGCGTTTGTCCGCAGACAGTCTACATGGTCATTTGGCCGGCATGACTAAACACTGAGGTGCACAGAACGCTGTTACCTTCCCACCAAAGTGGTACCTTTTTATCTACTTGTATTTGCATGCTTTTGAACTGCAAGGTTGGCAGGAGCTGGGATGGAGCAATGGGAACCCACCCCATTGTGCAGATTCGAACCGGTGACCTTTCAGTCAACCAGCCCAGCAGCACAGTGGTTTAAAGCACTGTGCCACCTAGCTTGTAATGTGATTTGTGGGGGGAATACTTAGCATGCATACATTTAAAAAATGAGCATATAAAATTGCATTCAAAACCATGCATACATTTGAAAATGCACACAAAATGCATACTTTTCAAAAATGCACATAATCAATGCTAGAAAATGCATGCATTCCAAAGATGTGCACAATCAACACATACATTTGAAAAAATGCAAATGAAAATGCACATGGATTGTCAGGCTAAATAAATAAATTGTGCAGATCTGAGTTGGAATGAGCTTTGGGTAGCAATTCTGAGAACTTCTGCAAGCTCAGGTTTTGCTCATTTGTGCATCCCTTATCACAGGTTCAATTCTTGGCATCTCTAGTTAAAAGGAGTATGTTGTTCATAACAGGGAGAACACCAGAAACTCACTGCTGTTAAAATTAGACAATACTAGGCCAGATGGTTAGGTAGTCTGAGCTGTTCTAAGACAGTTTCCAATGTGCCCCAGAGAAAATACTGCCAGCTTCTGCATTTATAGAAGCACTAGAGCAGGGACGGCTGTTGCTTGGCAAACAAACACATGGAGCAGTTTAGGACAAGAACTTAAGGCTTGATGCAGTTGCCAAGTGAAACCACAGGGAGGATATGGAAGGTAGAATATCTGTTGGGATCATGGCCAGGATGCCTGAGGAGAAAAATGCCTTGAGAAATATTCAGGGGCCAGGAACCATCTCTGCAGAAGGTGGATTAGGTCATTGTTAACTTCCAAGCATTAAGGAGACGACAGGGAAATTGCAGAATTGATAAAGATCTGCAGCTAAGACACAGACATGTTGCTGTGTTGGCAAATTGCTGGAGCACAAGGACAGGTGTGGGTTTGCCATGGATTGTCCTGTCTTTCTCTGCCCAGGCAACATGCCCTTTCATGTCAAAACTGAGATCAAAGCATGCAGGGGGTGGGGTAGGGGGAAATAGCAGGCAACCGAAACAGCCTTGTGACAACAGGAACTGCATTATCACCCATGGGACACTTTGAACACATGTTGGCAGTTTGGATTACAGGCAGGGCCACCTCCAGGATCAAGGAAGCTCAGGGCAAAGTATTTTCTAGTGGGCGCCCTTTTTGGTCAGTGGGCCCTGAAGGTCTGTCTTGGTTCAGGCAGTAGTGCTCCAAGCAGCACTGGCAGCAAAACATAGCCGTTCCTGTAATTTTCCAGAATGCCCCAGAGCACTGCTCAGGCCCCTGTAGGAGTTTTTAAAGAGCAGTTATTTCTAGCTGAATGGCCCTGCTTGGAGTGCCTGGTCCCAGTTGTGGCCTCTGCCAGGACACTGGGCAGAACAGAACTGCTTCTATTCATCAGGGTGTTCTGTAAGTTTTCACAATGAAGCATGTTAAGATACATTTAAAGGAGTATGAGGAAGGATATCAGGAGATCCAGACAGTATTTTTGGAATTATCAATTCATGGATGGATTGGCAACCCTCATTAACTGGTTATTATTATTATTAGTAGTAGTAGTAGTAGTAGTAGTAGTAATAGGAATCTGAAGCATGCTTTGAAAGAAGCATGCCTTGTAGAAGGAAGTTGGTCGCTGAAGGAAGCACAGGCCTGGATTGCATGTCATGGCCACCCAGGATTTAAACTCTGGGTGGCAGTGAATGAGCAGCAATCAGAGCAGCAATCAGAGCAGCTGGCTTCTGGCCACCCACTCCTGGTGAACTAAACAATGTAGAGATTCTCCATCCTTGGTTAGCTGCCCAGAATATCTGAATTTGGAATTCTGGGTTGATGGGGGAGCAACGTCTCAGCCCATGGCTTTCCACTGGGTTACAACTGTGTGTTGTTCCATACTTCCTGCCCCGCCCCCCAACTCACAGTTCTATATTTAGATGCTTTGTACAACCCAGGGATGGAGTGTCCCAGGCTGTTTAGTGCAGTAACAGGTGGCCACTTGAGGACCAGTTTTCCCACTCACTCATAACTACCCAGGCTTGTCTGAACCCTGGCTAGCCATAACTTGAGTACAAGGTGACATTCTGAAATTGAGCATTGATGTGATGTATACATTTTCCTCAATGTGGTCAGATGTGCACCAGACATGCGCCAGTCACATTAATCAACAGACTGCTTCAGTGCACTACTGAAGTGGTCAAGCTGATAGTGCCATCATAAAGGACATTACTGAGTTGGGAAAAGTGCAGGGAAGTACAACTAAAATGATCAAGAGGTTGATGCAGCTCCCCTATGAGGAACAGCTACAACAACTGGCATAGTTTAACTTAGAAAAAATGTAAGGGGAAACATGAAGAGGTGTTTAAAACTATGCATGGTGTGGAGAAAATGGAGGAGGAGACATTTTCCCCCTCTCAGTTAATACTAGAACTCAGGGTCATCTGATGAAGCTGCTTGCTGGTAATTCAGATAAAAGGAAGGCCCTTCTTAGCACAATGGATATTTAAACTATGGAATTCACTGCCACAGGAAGGCCTGATGGCCACCTATTTGGATGACTTTAAAAGGGGATTGGACAAATTCATGAAGGAGGAGGAGGCTATCAATTTCTACCAGGGTCACTGGCTGTGTGCTACCTCCAATATCAGAGGTGGTGTACATGCATATACCAGTTGCTGGAGAGCATGGACATGCAGAACTCTTGTACCCAACCTGCTTGAGGGATTCAGTAGAAAG